AGCCTCTACTTTTAAAAAAAAAAATCAGTTTTATTCTAGCTTAAAGCATTCTTTTTTTATCAACACTTGAAGATAGGTAGGTTTCATAAAAAATGCATTATTTAGAGCAAAAAGGTGAGAAAATAAATTTTTTACTTTTATCTGGATAATATTCAGTACGATTATCAAAGCATAAATCCAGTAAATCGCTTCCATCAATACCTCCAAAGCTTGCACAGACATATACCACTTCCTGGATCAACATTTTACTCTGTAACATTATGCAGTTTCATTTATATGCTGTCTATTGCTGATGATTGCATTATTTTTCATATGCATCTGTTTACGTAAGAGATCGCTAGTTTCTCCGTCCTGTTCATGTTTGTTCGGGAGGTTCTGTACTCGTTCAGAAGATGCGTAATAGTGCCCCCGAGTGTATAACAGTGAAAACACGAAAAGCCGTAAAAACTGGTCTTTGGAGGGGGAAGCGTTTTCTTGTAAAAGACGAGATAACTCATCAATGGCGGGGAAAGAGTTAATGATAATGATAATATCAAAAATACCCTCTATAATTATTAACAACTATATAATAATCTTATATATATATAAGTGTGTGTGTGTGTATATATATATATATATATATAGACACATACGAACTCTGGTCTCACCTGTGACCTGATGTGGGCAGTATGGGTGTAATGAAGCTGGGCCCCGTGTGTCCGTTACTGTCACTGCATACTGTCTCAGAGGTCTCCGGAGCCTGAGGGGCCGACACAGTTACTGAAGGGATGCTGGATATTGAACTCGCTAAGAAGGACAAGAGAGTGGAAGGTTAGAGATGTCAGATTCACAACAGGCATCATAAATTCAAAATGTCATGTCAGAGTAAGGAAACACTGGTGCACATGTAAATGTAAAAAATCACAAATCACCTGAATTATGTCCGCTCTGCTGGCTGACATCACCATTTCTCTGTGGGGTCGTTTTCTTCAAAATGTAAATAAATGGAAAAAAGTAAATAAATAGAAAGTGTGTTAGTGAAGAGCCAGCACTTCAAATTAGAGGTAACAATGCTAAAAAGAGGAAGGCAATTGCTCGCAGAGATTACATCTTACCTGATCAGATCGGCGTGTGCGTTTCATAATTTCCTCAAGGCGCTGTGACAGACAAGATTCAGATAACATTTAAACCCTGCCATTACCTTAACAAGCACTCAAAATGAAATTAGCTTACCTTCTTCCTCTCCATTCTCTCAGCCTCCTCTTTCTGGAAGTGTTTCTCTCTCTCCAGACGCAAACGCTCTGCCTCTTCTCTCTGGCGAGCCTCCTCTTCCTCTTTCTGAACATACAGAGCCACAAAAAACACATTTAGAAAACGTTTACATATAAAAATGTATAAAATCAGCATGCATTTACTTTAGGGTTGTCCAACCTAACATGTTACTGAGATGAATTACATGTTTAATGCTAGCTAGCACACATATTATAAAAAGTGGCTTTAGAAAATATTGCAGCATATTGTTTGCTGTATTTCTATATCATTAACCATAAGCCTTAATCTATGCCCTACAATACACAATGAATGCATATATTATGCATATAATATGCATTATATATATATTTTATAGTAAGACATTAGCAAACTACATAAATATACACACTACCATTCAAATGTTTGGGGTTGATAAGATTGTTTAATGTTTTATAAGCCTCTTCTGCTCATCATGGCTGCACTGATTTGACAAAAAAATACAGTAAATACAAAAATATTGTATAATATTATTACAATTCAAAATAACTGTTTTCTATTTAAGAATATTTATTCCTGTAATTTACTCCTGTGATTAGGGTTGGGTATCGTTTGGGTTTTTTACGATACCGGTGCCAAATCGATACTTTTAAAACAGTACCGGTGCCTAAACGGTACCTGAACCGATACTTAAAAAATATATATATATATTACCCAAAATAGGATGGATTGGCCATTATTGAGCGCTATAAACACATTTAATGTCTGTTTCATTCATACTGGACGCCAGAGGGCGCCCTCGCGCAAAAACTCCACATGTGCTTCACAAAAGAAATAGAACTCAGTCAGGAAATCCCTAATATGGACAAAGGCATTGCTATGGCTGTAACTGAGTAAACAGAAGATATAAACGTTTTGAATGATAAAACAAAGACAATAAACACTCGACTGCGACAATGTATAGTGTATCTGTGTTATTCAAGCCATCTTTGGTATTTTCATCATAATTAAGTATATTTATAATCCATTGCTAATTGACAGCCTTTTTACCATGTGCTTTTTACAGTATAGAACCTATTTTCTGCCTCATTCTGTGACAAGAAGCCACATCAGATCACAAAAGGAAGTGAATTCGTGAATTTTCTCAGTCGGGAAATTATTTTTCACGTGCGGTGCCGGTGATCCTTACGTCCGTTTCGGAGAACCAGAAAATAAAATTGAAATCAATCGCTCAAGCATTTAAGTGGCACCGAAATGAGGCACCGAAATCTGCGTTCTGATTGGCACTGGGTTTCGGTACCCAACCCTACCTGTGATTCAAATCTGAATTTTCATTATTACTCCTGTCTTCTTTGTCTGATTTGCTCAAGAAACATGTCTCATTATCATCAATGTTAAAAATAGTTGCGCAGCTTTATTTTTTGTGGAAACATGATACATTTTTATTCAGGATTCTTTGATAAATAGAAAGTTCAAAACAACAGTCCAAAAGAACTTTAAGTAACTTTTGATAAAAGTGTCTGCTAAAATGCAAAAATGTAACAGCATTATTTGCAATATAAATCTTTTGTAATATTCTAAATTATATCGTTATAAATCAATTTATTGCATCCTTGCTAAATAAAACTATTAATTACTTTTTAAAAATCCAAACTTTTGAACGATAGTATATATAAATAAATTCTCCTTAAATTCAAGAATTATCTACCAAAATGTCATGAGATTAATCACGATTTTTATAATCTATTTACAGCCCTAATGTTCACTAGTTATCTTACTGAAGCACACAGTGAGTGCTGAGTGTTTATTGATCAGTCTGGAGTGATTAATGAATGAGAATGTTGTGTACACCTGTTTCTGCAGGCGTTCAGCTTCCTCTCTCTCCCTCTGTGCTTTTTCCTCTTCTAAACGCTTTGCCTCCTCCTCTCGTCTCTTCTTCTCTTCTGCCTGCCGCTGTGCCTCCTCCTCTCTCTTCGCCCGCTCCTCTGCCTTCCTGCGGGCCATCTCCTCCCTGCTGCGCCTGCATACGCACAGGCACATAATGATTTCAAAATTTCTATCAAAATAAATGTGTGTTTGTTGCTTTGGTTTGGCTGTGTCTTACACACACCTTTCAGCCTCTTCCTGCTGTCTCTTCTCCTCCTCTTCTCTTTCTCTTTGTTCTCTGGCTTGCCGTCGTTTCTCAGCCAGCAGACGTGATGCCTCCTCAGGATCGGTTGTGCCTGCAGAGGGCCGTGTTGTTGGAGGACTTCCAGAACCTTCTACAAAACCAGAAAAAGGTACAGGAGTAGAATAAATGATGCAAATTTAATTGAACTTGATGGTTCACTAATGGTTGTATGGCATTACAGACCAGCAGAAGGCTCCGGTTTAGTTGCAGGAGACTCTGGTTCAATTTTGGGAGGTTCTACATCCTCTTTTTTGGCCCCCTCTCCTTCTGGAGTTGCTCTCGGACTCTCTGATGTCACTCTGTTAGGCCTGAGATTGCCTGGTGATAAGGACGGGTTACTAGGAGACAGACGAATTGATGCTGGAGGAGGTGGAGACCTGGACTTTTTGGGGTTAGGTGTCTTCTGAGGGGGTTTAGTAGTAGAGCCCCTGACGAACAGAAAACAACAACAAATCAATCAGTGAGCGAAAAGTAGTTTATAAACTTCTATTTTAGTGCAGGTTTTATTATATAGACACTATTTTATTGTTATATATTTTAGTCTAAGTTTTAGCAAATATATTTAAGAAATGAATTTCTCGCAAATCCTGTAAGAGGAATTCTAACATCATAAAATTATTGATAAATAAATTTACAAAAAAAATATTTCTTTTTATTTATATATACACTACTGTTCAAAAGTTTGGGATCAGTAAGACTTGCAATGTTTTTTAAAGAAGTCTCTTATGCTCATCATTTGATCAAAAATACAGAAAAAAAAACAGTAATATTGTGAAATGGTATTACAATATAAAATAATGTTTTCTATTTTAATATACTTTAAAATATAATTTATTTCTGTGATGCAAAGCTGAATTTCCATCAGCCATTACTCCAGTATAAAGTGTCACATGATCCTTAAGAAATCATTCTAATATGCTGATTTAGTATTAGAATTATCAATATTGGCAACAATTGTGCTGCCAAATATTTTTTGGGAAACTGCGATACTTTTTCAGGATTCTTTGATGAATAAAAAGTAAAAAAGAACAGCATTTATTCAAAATTGAAATCTTTTATAACAATGTAAATCTTTGCTATCACTTTTTAGCAATTTAACACATCCTTGCTGAATAAAGGTATTAATTTCTTTAAAAAAAAGAAAGAATAAAAATGTACTGACCCCAAACTTTTGAATGGTAGTGTATATTGTTAGAAAAGATTTCTATTTTAAATATATGCTGTTCTTTTTAACTTTTTATTCATCAAAGAATCCTGAAAAAAAGTATCACAGGTTCCAAAAAAAAAAAAAACATTAAGCAGCACAACAGTTTCCAGCATTGATAATAAATCAGCATATTAGAATGATTTCTGAAGGATCATGTGACACTGAAAACTGGAGTAATTATGCTGAAAATTCAGCTTTGATCACAGGAATAAATTAGATTTTAATGTATATTAAAAAAAAAAATGCAATTTTCCATCGTAAAATTTTTCACAATATTACCTTTTTTTTCTGTATTTTTGACTAAATAAACACAGCCTTGATGAGCATACGAAACTTCTTTAAAAAAACATTAAAAATCTTTTGAACGGTAGTGTATATATTTCCCGAATTAATGCCTTGCTTGAGTGAAGATTGGTTCTAACACAAAAGGAAAATCAATGATTAAGTAAATGTGAATTTATTTTTGTTATTTTTGGTTTTTAAATTTACTAAACCTGGTGGGCTGTTTATAAAATATATACACAAATTTTCAGTCTAAAAAAAGCACTGTTGATACTTTTATACTTATATATTATTCTTTACAATCTTGTTTTCATTTTAAAAATGGCATTTATACCTGTTGGGGGATGGATTGGTGACCCTGCTGCGATGACCGACAGGTGAAGGAGATCTCTTGGGTGTGAACAGGCTCAGATTGGTAGTGGGATATGCCAGGTTACTCCATGACTTTCTCACATTGTCCTTATCCTTCCTGTCAATCTGCCCAATGAAACACACAAAATACATCTTCTGAGAGACATCTACCGTACTTCCATACTACATTATACAAAGATCAACACACTTCAATTGGTTTACATAAGCAAGTAAGACTTTTAAAGCATATGGCACTTTCACAAGCACAAACAAATAACACAATTACTGTACAACAATAACTAATCTTGTGTGTTTACTTACCGGCAGATTCTGGGTGGTCTTTCTGCGAGCGCTGCTGTCCAGAGGGATGAACCCTGCTCTGATTGGTCTCTCAAGATTAAGGCCTGCTTTGATTGGTCGTTCAGCACTGCGTGACTGGATGGACTTGAAGGACATGGAGCTCATTGGATGACAGGAGGCTGAGCGAGGACAAACGGGGGTCACTGTACCACAGGCAAGTTTAACCAACCGACCAGGGAGTATTATGGGATAAATAAATTGATTCAATATGGACAAGAGGAGCGACAGGGAGGGAGGCAGTTGTGCAAAAGAAAAGGGTTAAAAAGGGGTGAATGAGTGATGAAATAGTGGAAAGGGAAGAACAAGAAAGTGTGTATTAGTATCTACAAAGCTCTAGGAAGAAATTAGGCAACATCATCCATCACTGTAGGGAGGACAATCTGAAACCTGTTCAGAATGGCATACTACCATACTATTTTTGCAGTATGCATGATGTATACTGTGCTTAGTGGGTACATTTACTGTATGCAAGGAACTGAAATTGCCAAAATATTAATTATACAGCCAGAACACACGGAGTGGCATATTATATCCTATAATGCAATGCACTAGACATTTTTGGCTTGACAAATGAACTAGAAACAATATGTGATTCTACTATGCCTTTAACTAATTATTTTATTTGACTGAAATTGGAATAAAAATGAAAAATAACATTTTTAATTCAGAGACAAAAACTGGACATCATTTAGGCCTACTACAATAAAAATAAAATGTAATGAGGTTAACAACATTGCATACTTATTGTTTGAAATATGTATTCACACTGCAAAGCGTTTCACGCATGATTATAAAAACAGCAGGCAGTAAACAGTACGGCACAGTATGCAGTAAACAGTGAGGTAGTATTTCATTCTGAACAACACAGACACTTTCATTCCTGAGTCAATGATGAAGCTGTTGCCCATGTTAGAATTTAATCAGTTGATAACAGCATCCCCAACCAGAAACACAAGCCACTGAGAGATTAGCTTAGCATCAGGTCCATTTGTGCGCGCACACACACACACACGTCAGTTTAAGATGAAGTTGGCAGCAACTGGGCAAGGCTGTCGCTGAGAGAAAAGTCTGTCTGAAAAGGGTGTTTTGTTTTAGGACAAGGGCCTTGCCAGAAACAGCCCTCACTGTTCTACAGTACTCTCATTCCCTTCTTTCTCTGCTCTCTTTCTTTGTACATACATGTGTGTTCACAATAAAATGTCCTGAAGTTCTGCTATTGTATAAGTATCAGTTGCAAACAAAGTTAAAGCTACTTTGAAACTGCAGTCTCAATGTGGCAGAATAACTTTAAGATTTCTCAGCTTAACTTAAGAAGTATTTGAAGCACCAACACATGCATGTTATTTTATACATCTGAATTGTAAACATTTAAAATGGCTGGCAAAAAAAAAGGCACAAAGCAAATTTCCCATCTTATCTGTATGAAAGCTTAACCCCACCATGGAATTGAACATTAAAAAAGATAACTTGCAATTACAAGCTAAAAACCACTAATTGTGAGTTTATATCTTGCAATTTAGACTTGTTTTTCTTAGAATTCTGATTTTACATCTCGCAATTATGTTTGTTTTGGAATAAAAAAAGTTTAAAAAGTAAATTTGACATTTATCTCAAGTTTTCTCACAATGCAGATTTTTCTTCTAGGAATTGCTTACATCTCCCAATTTTGACTTTCTGTCCCATAATTATGAGATGAAAAGTTGGAATTACCTTTTTTATTTAAGCAATTACCTGCTTCTCCAGACAGAGACATGGCGCTGCGACTCCTGGCCAGGTAGGAGTGTGTTGGTGTCTGTAGTCGACTGATCACTGTATTCTCCCATGCAGTAAGAGGCATGCGACGCATACCTGGACAACACACGCACATTTTCTCTTATATACTGCCATCGTTATTGAAAGGAAATATTTGGTTGTCCAGGGACAAAATGCTAAAAAGTAGTTTGCACATGCAACAGTAGAGCAACTGACACAGATGCATCACATGTATTCATAATATCATATGCCCAGAATAGGTTACCTATTTGCATCATCTGCTGGTGATAGTGAATCATGCATGTTTTATGTAAAGTTCTATGTTAAGCGAGACTGACCAATAAAGGAAATACAGGATTTTTTTACCCTAAATGTAACCACTAGCAGAAAGACAACATGAAACTGCAATTGCAACCCATTTAAAGGAATAGTTTACGCAAAAATGAACATTTGCTGCAGATTTACTTAACCTCAGGCCATCCAAGATGTACAGTAGATGAGTTTTTTGTATTGAAACAGAGGACTATTTTAGCTGGAAGCAACGGTTTTAAGCTAAAATGTTTTAATTATGGATTTGTTTCTTGCAAACATGCAGCTTTTCACTTCACAAGATGTTAACTGATGGACTGGAGTCGTATGGATTATTGTGATGTTTTTATCAGCGGTTTGGTTTCTCATTCTGACGGCACCCATTCACTGCAGAGGATCCACTGGTGAGCAAGGGATGTAATGCTAAATTTCTCTAAATCTGTTCTGATGAAGAAACAAACTCATTTATGACTTGGATGGCCTGAGGGTGAGCACGTTTTCAGCAAATTTTCATTTTTGGGAGAACTATTTCTTTAAGTTAGACCAATAAATAAAATAAAAACAGGGTTTGTTACCATAAACATAACCACTTGTGGAAAGACAACATGAAACTACAATCACAACCCATTTAATGTGTGTGATATTTTTTTAATTGAGAGAATATTTTTGGGCAGGACCTGATGTTATCCATCAGGATTCGACTGGACCATGAAAAGTGAGTTGTGAGTTTATGAAATTAATATTATTTGGTCCACCCTACATACCCTGTCACGCAGCAGAAAAGTAATTTCAGTAACTACATTATGATGAAAAACAATGTCAACAATTTGCTTCTTTAAAATAAGATGCACTGATAAATTGTGCACAATTTGACATTAAAAAATAAATCTATTTTGATTTCATGTTGTCTTTAAAAAAAGGTTGCCAACTGCTGAAGGAAAAATGCATGCAAGAACTAAATATCAAAACAAGTTTACAATATAGTCAAATCAAGCATGCAGCATGCACACACAGTAGAACTTTTTCCCATTATTGTTATAGCCAAATTATTGTTTGCAAATGAATAAATCATTTAAAACTTTTATAAACTAACTTATATAAACTAACATGCAATATTTGTAAATACTGGAAGAGATCACATGACTCCAGAGTAGTGTTGCTTTCGTCAACGAAAATTATGACTAAATATCGTCGTCAACGAACCTTTATCACGTGACGAAAACGAGACGAGACGAGACGAAAATGCTGGTCATGTGACGATGACTATAATTAAATGTATAATGCAATATCGTTGACGAATAAATATACTATATTGACTGGGTTAAATGTAATTGCATTTCTAAAAAGAGACTAAAATACAATTTTCATTGACTAAAACTAGACTAAATGTCATCAGTTTTCGTCGACTAAAACTAGACTAAAATGCTCAGACTTTTAGTTGACTAAAACTTGACTAGACTAAAAAGAGTATGAACGTGACTAAAACTAATAAAAACTAAAATGACAAGTTTCACACAAAGACTAGACTAAAACTAAAATTAAAACAGGCCGCCAAAAACAACACTACTCCAGAGTTCTGTGTAACCAGGGCTCAAGACTGAAAATTACAAATTACAGAATTGTTTGATTACAGACTTATTTGTTAGAAGCACTTGGTCATGCTCACATTGTGTAGATGCAATGGTAATGCCTACATTGAAACAGAATATGCACTTCATTGAGTGCAAAGCTTCTTACTTGAACACGTCACTTCTCATCCAACAGTTACTGTGTAATGTGAAGGAGCAAAAGGCATGCATTTTAAAGAAATGTAATATATGTGTAACTGAAGTCACATATTGACAAAAAAGTTTTGTAATTGATTGTTCTGTGAACTGTTCATTCAGGGTTTTTTTTTCATTTATGATTATTTTATTTGTAGTCTGGAGCCCCGGACAGCACAGGTTTGAACCCAGTAGGAGAGCATCAAGAAAGATTCCTGGATTTCTGAAATCCACCTGCTGGTTTGTCCTGAGGTATCTTCTCTTTGGAGATTTGGGATTTAGATTGTGTTTTTTTAATCAAGCAAGACGACGAGAGAGATGTCTGCTTCTGTAAGGCTTAGACGGTACAGCACAATCACACAGCACACAAATACACACACACAAAGACAACATCAATTGAACATGGTGATTCTTGGTAAACTATTCAAAAAGAAAACAAAAACCTAATTTGGCTATGTGATTGATTGTGTAAAACGTAAAGAGATAGTGTGCGTGTTTACCTCTATCTGGTGAATTCAGCAAGGTGGCTGAGGAAGATGACAGGCGTTTAGAAATGACTGGATCTGTGGGTTTGGACAGATTCATAGTGGAGGCTGACCTTCTGTCAGTATCTACAAACACACAGATGCAAGATACAACATCAGATGCACACCTTAAAGGCATAATACAGACAAATGCACAAAAAAAAGGACTAAAGGGAGATAGAAAATGAGAAAGAGGGCATAAGAGGCTTTACTAAGACTTTTTCTACTGTGTGTTTACCTGCAGTTTAGGGATGCTAATTTTTAAGTTAGGAAAAGTGCTTAGCTACATATACTAACGACTACAGAGGATGACGGCACACTCATCTGCTTAATGCTCACAATCTGCCTTCCATCTGTGTGTCCCAGAATGGACAGACACATTGACGACTTTAAAACTAGCAGGACATCTGTGATGTCTTTTAAACACTTTAAAAAGTATCTAACATCACCAATATCTACATTACCAGACTTTAAAGGGGTCATATAATAAAAAATAAGATGGAAAATAAAAATACATTGATGTACAAAACTAGTCAGTATTTTTTTTTTTAAGTGATCTAAAGGCTTAAATTTTAATGCTTGAAATTAGTTTAGTAGACAAAAAAACTGCATTTTTTTATTTACAAAACTATTTTACTACAGTTAGTATCTATATATTAACCATCAAACATTACAGGTCAATACATATAATATATTAATCTTAAAAGTGTAATAGCAAAAAAGAAAAACCTAAATGAAAGAATAAAAGCTGATGGACTATAAAGAAAAAAAAGTGACAAAAAGATAAATGGCCCCTTTGAAACAGAAACTACAAAATAGCTAAATTCACATCTTACATACTACTGGTTAAGCAGTTTGTGTTTCTGGCTCCATGCTAACTGCTGACAGGAAATGAAAAGAAATCTAAATCATTTATGGGGTGATGCTACAAGCTTTAGCTAATGCTGCTAGTCTGCTGCTCTACACTGATTATTATATTCACATTTCGATCGAAACTGCTGCTGACGCGCCAAGCTGTAAACACCATGATAGTGCTCCAGCCCAGCTAGATCCAATGAAAAGAGAGCAGAATCATCAAAACCTGAGAGATAAAGATAGAGAGAAGCAGTGAGAGAGAAGAGAGAAGGATGGATACAGAACCATACAGAGAGAAAGAAAGATATTGATGGAGCAGTAAATAAAGGAAACAAAGGGAGTGTGCGGTGAGCTCATGGCTCTGAGTCAACACATGTGAGCAGAGCATAAAGAAATATGCTGTACTGCAAACAATATGAATTTATATTTAAAAAATGTTTAAATCCTTAAAAAAAGGCTAAAGTGAGCTTGTACTTGGGCTGCGCAATTAATCAAAGCAACTGAAAACGCAATACAAAAAATATGTTTTAAGGGCTTCCTGTATTATTCCAACTAAATAAAAGCTTGACTGTTTTACATTTGAAAAGAAATGAAGACAGCCATAAATCTTAGTATTTATACTAAGATTACTTAAATCTTAGTATCTTAGTATTTATACTAAGATACTTTCATTTTCATTTTACAATTCTATCTGCACTGTTAAATAAAATTATTATTCTATTATTATTTTTCTTAAATACATCATTTTTTAAATTACAGAGAAATTACAATAGTAATTTCTTATTTAACAGTAATAATAATTATGTCATGTTTCAAATTGAAACTGCAAATTTTAATCAGGAAAAAAAACATTTTTGCCTACATTGTGCAGTCCTATAATGTATTACAGTGATGTATTACAGTAGCAATGTTTTGCACCAGCAAGCAACTTACTTGGGTTCAAACATTCCCAGTATTTGATTTGTGTGTGTGTGTGTGTCTATTTTATTGTCATCCAGATAAAAGTTGATAGTATGAAAACGGGAATATGTTATAGTTCACCTCTATACAACAAGCAACATCATCTGATGTGTGAGTATTTTTACATTTTCCAGAATCTCTTTACAGTATAACCATATTGATCATTCTGTGCACATGTGTGTTTACCGTTGTTGTGTGAGGTGCTGGCGGAGAGCGTTCCACCCCAGCTCCAGCGGTTTGACTTGGGCCTGGCTCTCTGACTCCTCTCCATGGTCCTCCTGATAACAGCCTCATACCGGACCTGGAACACACAAAAAGACTTTCTCATTCTGGAGAGCATTTAATTGGTCAAAAATGTCCTTTTTATTTAGTTTTTCAAGAATTTATCCTCTAACAAACGCACACCACTTTTTACAAAATGTATGGTTCGCCTTTAGTATTTCCTTTACAATAATAAAAAATGGTCTCTGTATATATTCACAGTTATGACAATGTAATGCAGGTTCTCAACCACCTTCTCCTCCTCTAGTTTCTGCCGTCGTTTCTCCTCCACAGCAACGCGTCTCCTCTCCTCCTTCACTCGCTGCTCCTCCAGCTTTTTCCTGCGCTCCTCCAGCTGTCTCTCATGAAACTGTCGGGCTCTTTCCTCTCTCTCCAACCACTTGGAACCTCGTACAGCTGCACATACACAATTCATTTCAATTTTTTTTTGTTTAGTGCTTTTCACAATACATAATTTTTTTAAGCACTTTTAAAGATGAATCGTGTTTCAATGTTACAATTAGGAAACATCAGCCAAACCTGAGTTTATCAAGGTTATCTCCATGTGTAATATGCAACTATAAGATAACGCATTATGCAACACTTTGAATGTGTTCAGCAGAAATTACAGCTTATTCTTGTAATGATTAGGCTATAATATAAGAAAAATATTTGACAGCTTTATATGTCGACCCAAAGTTGGCATCATCTAGAGTCTTTGCACATGTTGGCGTCATCTGAAATCTTCACAAATGATTTTCCTTAATCAAGAAAAGGATTTTTTCTGGTAGCCCTATAACTCTATGGCAACTATACATTTAGAAATGCCTGCTGAAAAATGGGATTTGTTTATAATTTCAGCTCTTTCTAATGCAAGTTTTCTGTTGGAAGGAATTCTGGAAATCATTCTACCTATCCATCTACCCATCCATTGTTCTATCTATTTGTTCATAAGACCAAAAAACATTTAAGTTCAAGGCTTTTTAACTTCTCTCTTAAAAACTTTGTTTTTCAATTGTTGGAAAAAGGCTGTTATTGAAGGACGGGGCAGCACAACTATATTAAACTCCACAATCCTCAAAAATTGTTACTCAATTCACAAAAATAAGCTGATTATAACAAGTCTTAAAGGTACAGTTGCAAAAAAAAAAAAAAATTCAGTTTAATGCTACAGCTCAGAGAAAAGGTGGACAATGGTCATGTGAAAGTGAACCTCAGGGGAAAATGATCAAATATGAAGAAAGGCAGATGTTAATAATCGACATTGTTGATTATAAATTTCATTATCATCCAAGCACTTCAGTAAAGTAAGCACAATTAATCCACCAATCTCTCTCTGGCCTCTCTGTCCTGGCCTCTAACCCCTTACATAAAACTGGGTGTCCTGGTAACCACCTCGCCAAGAGTTTACATAACAACTGCACCTCGCCACAGCAACCTGCCCCATCCAGTTAGTCATGCAGTTACGGACAGAAGAGAACAGACAGACACAAGAAAGAACAAAATGGGTAAAATCAGCAAGAAATGTAACCCTTTACATGGTGAAGAAGGTTTGTTTTGACATACAAATTCACATGATTTACTGAATTATACGAACAATACATGAACATCTAACTTTGCTTTTAGACTACACTTTTTACCCATTAAGACTTTGATTAGGACTGAGTGAGTCTCTGATCAAAGGTCATTTCTACAGCATCTGTGTGTTTTCATAGTAAACCACTGCGACTCTTCAAGGCAACATGGCATCATGACCGAGCATATGACCTCAAGTACTTTCATAATAATTGCCTTTGTTCATGTGATGCCTTTTAGTCCCACCAAAAGTATGACATGCGTGAATGCCATTTCAGTCGTGCCTGGAAGTGTATCAATTAACTATGTAACAAAAGCTAATTATTGCTATTTGTGAGAACTAAATGTCAAGCTGTCAATGTGACGTTACAGCTGTGAATGTTTAGTTTTTAACATTTTGTGGGTGAAGAATAGCTACAAAAGAACTACTCATATAGACCCATTATGAGGTCTCGCATGACCAAACTACATTTCCCATCATTCTCTGAGGAAGCACAAGAGTGATTAAAAACAAAGTAGGCTTCAAAACAATTCACAAAAATAAGCTAATTAAAACAAGTCTTAAAGGTACAGTTGCAAAAAAAAAAAAAATCAGTTTAATGCTACAGCTCAGAGAAAAGGTGGAAAATAGTCATGGGAAAGTGAACCTCAGGGGAAAATGATCAAATATGAAGAAAGGCAGATGTTAATAATCAACATTGTTGATTATAAATTTCATTATCATCCAAGCACTTCAGTAAAGTAAGCACAATTAATCCACCAATCTCTCTCTGGCCTCTCTGTCCTGGCCTCTAACCCCTTACATAAAACTGGGTGTCCTGGTAACCACCTCGCCAAGAGTTTACATAACAACTGCACCTCGCCACAGCAACCTGCCCCATCCAGTTAGTCATGCAGTTACGGACAGAAGAGAACAGACAGACACAAGAAAGAACAAAATGGGTAAAATCAGCAAGAAATGTAACCCTTTACATGGTGAAGAAGGTTTGTTTTGACATACAAATTCACATGATTTACTGAATTATAAGAACAATACATGAACATCTAACTTTGCTTTTAGATTACACTTTTTACCCATTAAGACTTTGATTAGGACTGAGTGAGTCTCTGATCAAAGGTCATTTCTACAGCATCTGTGTGTTTTCATAGTAAACCACTGCGACTCTTCAAGGCAACATGGCATCATGACCGAGCATATGACCTCAAGTACTTTCATAATAATTGCCTTTGTTCATGTGATGCCTTTTAGTCCCACCAAAAGTATGACATGCGTGAATGCCATTTCAGTCGTGCCTGGAAGTGTATCAATTAACTATGTAACAAAAGCTAATTATTGCTATTTGTGAGAACTAAATGTCAAGCTGTCAATGTGACGTTACAGCTGTGAATGTTTAGTTTTTAACATTTTGTGGGTGAAGAATAGCTACAAAAGAACTACTCATATAGACCCATTATGAGGTCTCGCATGACCAAACTACATTTCCCATCATTCTCTGAGGAAGCACAAGAGTGATTAAAAACAAAGTAGGCTTCAAAAACACACCAAATGTGCATACTTTGCCTGGTTTTGTTGTAGTGCCACTAAGAAAAACCAGCTGAAAGGTTAAAAGGAGAAATATGAAATTGCCCAACGTGTCACTTCTTTCCTGACCAAAAATAACAAAAATGCATATGACATGGTAATTACAATCAAAACAAAAATAATGTGACAATCAAAACCAAAATCAAGTCTCATTGTACTGAAATTCCCACTAAATACACTGCTTGATTCTGAAATATGTGTCACATTAAAGAAGTTAATTGTGTAGCATGTTGTCTTTAATGACAACGTGTGCATGTTTGTCATACCATTCTGCTTCTCCAGCTCCTCCCTCCGTTCACGGGCGAGTCTCTGCCTTTCGTCATTCTTCAGCATGAGAGGCTCTGCAAACAAGCACACAAATGCTGGATGAGTTCTGAAAGTAAAGTTGGGAGATGTCTGCATATATGTACAGCTAGCAGTACGTGTGGTGTGTCTGACCTGGTCTGGTAACGATGTGTATCTCTGTGGGGCTGGGAATGGTGTAGGTGTACTGTCCAGAGGCTGATGAGTCCGGTCGACTCCATGATGACTTCTCATCTGCTCTGAGAAGGTAGTCAGAGCCTGATTGACAAAGACAGAGGAGAGAGAAGAGGGAAAACCCAAGCTGTTTATTCATCACTATATCGAGAATGAAGAAAAAGAGAAAGTGAAAATACAAAGTGAGTGAAACACCCAAGACTATTGATAACTATCGTTATCAATTGCATTGGTGGTCTAAATATTAAAATGAAACATGAAACATTAAATATACAATATATAATAAATATTAATATAATACAAAATATAAAAACATTAAATATGGATAATGTATACATTTTGAGGAATGATTTTACTATTTTTACACTATAATACTTTAAGTAAACATGATAAAATGGCAAAATGCCAATAACTGCACACATACTAGTCTCATGTTGTCATTTCTAAACTGGAAAACTGAATGAAATTTGTTAATTAATTATTTTTTATAGAAATGTCATTTTTATTAGCACAGTGATTATCACAATATATACTGCACCAAAGCATTGTCAAAAAGCAAAGTTGTGCGCATTACATACTGTTGATTTACTCAAAGACCCTCTCACACTCTTTTAGGAAGTGACTGTAAGAAGGTTTATGACCCGACAGACCTCAGCCTGGGCAGTAAACATTTCCTTGAAAACAGGTGCCAGATAGGCTTATGAATCCATGGGTAAACATATAAAGTATATATGGCTTGAGAAGGTTTAACCATCTACAGACAGAAAGTGTATTTGTAGTGTTACTATAATCAGGTCTCTACATCTGCAAGCTTCCTGTGATCAGTAACACGTCAGAATCAGCAAACTGGTTAAATTGTGTTATTGATTCCCCCTCTATAAAACCAATCAACCTCCTACTGTGTGCGTCATCACACGCATCAATCAATAATAGTTATATGTTATCTTGTTGTGCATCATGCTTTTTCATACAAACTTACGATACAGAAATTGCAGACACAACATCCCTCAATTAACTTGGTCATGTATCTTGTTTCAGAATAATATCCTAAATACAAATGAGGTACAAAGCCATTTCTGTAGCAATTGTAACATTCAAAATTCAAACATGTTATAAAAAGCTTCAATAGCATAAAAAAGGAAAACTATAGCCGTCCTATACATAACACCCACATGCTAGTGTGTATTATAGCTCCCACAAACTGTGATCTTTAAACAGTGCTACCCATAATTCCACAGTGGGGGAGGAGGGGATGAACAAGCCATGGGCAGATGGTGTGTCTAGACGAGGAGGGAATAGATAAAGGACAAAAACAAAACTAGCAAAGAACATTTTAGCAAAAGTCATTTACGACTCATGCCAAAAACAAAGCATCCTTTTCTACCTAATAAACTATGGTCCTATGATTCCAACGCAAAAGAAATCCAGTCATAAAACTAAAACTTAATCAAATAGATGAATAAATCAAAAGTAGGGCTGTATAATAAAATTGCTATATGACTGATGTATTTTAATATTTAAAAGACTGCTACTAAAGTAAGAAGTCTTTATGTTCTCTGTCTCAGAGTGAATGAAGAGTCACTTCACCAACATTTCACCATTTCATTTGATAAAAACTATTGTTAAATACTAGGCATGGGACAATAACCCGTTTCAAGGTATAACGCGGTTTGGAAAAGTCACGGTTTCAAAACCACTAAAATTTTTCGTTATACCGTTCCTGCGGTATGCAGTTTTTTTACGTGCCGTCAAAGACGGAATGTGCAGGACTCCCTCAGTTGTGTGCAGCGAAGAGCGTAACGAGTCACACGACCCCTCCTCCTCCGGTTGGTGCGAGCGGTCAGTGAGAGTCACCTGTGTGTGGGATGGCCGAAGGATGTGAATCCCTGGAACTTTTTCCCCCGACAAAAAAGACGAAGTCTGTCGTATGGGAATTTTTCGGGTAATGTAGACTATGTAGACACGATGTTTCGTACAGATGACGTTTTAGCGCTGATCGCTAAATACCGTATTGGCCCGAATATAAGACGACCCTGATTATAAGACGACCCCCCTTTTTCCAGATGTACCTTTTGGAAAAAGGCTTTTTAAAAAGCAAATTTTGTTTTTTCTCAGTAAAACACATTTTGTCTTCAATTATTTTCATATTGCATATTTTTCCTATTTTAATTTTTGTTTTGAAAGTATGGTAAAAACTGGTAAAATGTACCAACAATCACATTTAAAAAATATACACTTTTTGATATACCATAAAAACAAACAGGTAGCCGGCTATCCATCTAAAAGTAGCCTACCAAAATCTTATTAACAGGAGAAGTTAAATCTTACTGTAGTCTTCAAATCTGGGTACTGACTTAC